CCAGAGGAAAAAACCTCGATTGAGAAGAAAGCAGGTATATTAAAAACTAGAGCAAATTTTAAATGGGTCAAATAATTAAACAGATAAAGGAGCTCAAATGATCAGGTATTATATTTTAACCTAATTACATTGACTATATTCGAGTTTACAATACTCCTTGTCTTGACAGCAAAGCAATTCACAGCCCTTGACAATGGTCAGAGGGGATTCACCACAGGTTTAATTCATGTGGAGACCCTGCAGATGGATTTTGGGCTCCACCATCCTCCGTAGGTTTCTGCAAATTGGGAGTTCACAATTTAAGTTCTGATGTCATTTCTTCCTTCAGATTTGGATTTTATTATTTATAAAGATCACAAAGGCTGGTGTGCTTCTTCCATGTGGACCTTAGTTGACACCCCAGTTAGATGGCTGTTTGCTTAAAGATAAGCTTTTAAGACTCCAGATGTTATTCTTTTTGATAGCTGACCACCATCTGATTTCTTCACCATACTTTGCTGTAGCATCCATCTTTTCAGTGATCTCTTCATGAGGGTGATCATCAAGCAGGGCCATAAGAACGAATTGTTCTTAGATTGGGGCTAGAATGAAGTTGAAGACCAAAATCCATTCACATATCTATGGTTTATATAGGTTTCTGGTTCTCTTTAGAAGGCCTCATTATCATTTCATGACAGAGAACATTATCCCCCCCTGGGGCATAAGGCAATTCTATTGTAGAGTTATTAACTTATCCAACGGTAGAGAATTTAACATACTCTTGAAAGAAGAAAGTGTAGACCACGGTCTGTTTCTGTATGACTGAAAAGCTATGAAAGATTTTATATTATTGAAGGGTTTTAAAACACAAAATAAAACGATAAAATGAAATGAAGCAAACACGCAGAGAACAATATCAATATGCATCATAACTGGGGTGTGGCTTGCAAACTTTAAAATATCCACTTACTGCTATCAAGTTGATGTTGGCTCACAGCAGCCCTAGAGGACAGAGGAGAAATGCTCCTGTAGTTTTCCAAGACTATAACTATTAACAGGAGTAAAAAGCCCCATCTTTCTCCCAAGGAGCAGCTGGTGGTTTTGAGCTGGTGGTTAGCAGCACAAGACATAAATACTACATCGCCTAGACTCCTTTAAAATCTAATACCTGGCAATTTACAGAAATATTTGCTGGTCACTTTCTTTCCTTTTTAATTACATTATATCCCATCCAATATAATGAAGCTTAGCAAGTGGAGTAGAATGAAATATAAGCTGCTGAAAAGGCGCTCACAAAAAGCCCAAGTATTTTAATTAGGTAGCTCATCCTAACCACAGTACTATTAGCTGTTCTTACCTAAGAACAATCTCCGTTGTCTCAAAAGCCTTTAAGTTCTTACCTAGTACTGGTAACACTAGAGTGAGGTATCTATAAGGGAATCTCATTGCAGGGCCAGGGGTAATGACAAATTGTGTCACCTTTGTAATAGGATGACCTCATTTTGTATTCATTTACATGCCAAAAACATATAGTATTTACCGTTTTAAGTATTTTAAATAATGTGTACACAAGGCACAAGTTAACAAGTTTAACACTATAGATTCTAGACTAACATTTCTGGTATCATAATTTTTCAACTGGGAAATCAATAGTTCATCCTTAATGAATCGCAGCATTTTGCCTTTCTGAATAAGATATTTTTAGCCTACATGGATTTATGGCTTTAAAGTAGTATGGAATAGTAAAATTAATTAAAAAGTACTCTAATAGTATCAAATGATGAAGGCTTTAAGAACAAGAAATTTAAAAGATGGAAGCAAACAATAGGACGTGGGTGCGTACTATCAACTTAATGGTAATAGTTCATTTAGGACAGAACATGGATAATTTCAAAGAAGGAAAGAAAAATTAAATGTGTTGGTGGAAAAGCCTATTAAAATAAAATTTTATTAATCATGTAGTTATGTAACATTATTGTGTAAACTTAAATTAAGTTTCCAATGATTCAAATGATCTTCCAGGGAATGGGTCATTTTAATTTATCTACCTATCTACTTATCTTTTTACCTTGTCTTGTTTAATGTTTGAGAAAGAAAGAGAAATTTGGGTTACCAGTCATGAACCTAAAGATTTTTTAGAAACCATAATCAAGCTTAACTAAACAAGGAGTTTAACCTCATGAAGAAAACCTTTAAAACGCATTATGACTTGGTCAAGCTAAGTCATAAGGAACCCTGGAGGTGTAGGGTTACACATTGGGCTGCGAAATGCAAGTTATAACCACTAGCATCTCCAAGGGAGGAAGACAGAGTTTTCTAGTCTTCTAAAGAGTTATATAGCCTTGGAAACCCACAGGGGCAGTTCTATCCTGCCCTACGGGGTCACTATGAGTCAGCATCGACTTGTTAGCAGTGATGTCATCAAGCCAAGAATCTTCCATTATCTTGATCTTATGCCCCCTTCCTCCCCAAACCGGAAGTGTGCTGAGCAGACCGGAGCTTTTATAGTACCCATTTCCCCCACTAGGGGAGCATCGAGCAACATAGTTGGAGTTAGTGCACCCAGTGGCGAGGCCTGGGAAGGTTCTCTCTGGTCACAGTGAATTTTTTCATAAAAGCAGTTTCACTCGAACTCCATTTGTTGTGATGACAGGTTTATGAGAACAGCGAGTGGCTATGCAATTTTGTTGCCTGCCCAGGAAAAATGCCACAGCAACTGTTGTGATGTTGAACACAGCTTACAAAGACAGTGCTATGGGAAAAGTGTACACGAGTGGTTTTCTTGTTTGAAAAAAAGGTGAAATGACAATTGATGACAAACCTTGTTCTGGATGTCAGCTTCCTGAGCTGCCGAAAATGTCAACTTGTAGTGCATTTGGAATTCGTTCCACGAGGCCAGACTGTTAACTAAGCTTGTTATTTAGAGGTTCTTCGAATGCAAAGGGGCATGACAGAACAGCAATGTAATGACTTAGACGAGGTAAAGAAAAAACGTGGGAGGTACTTTCAGCCATCTAAACAGATGAGTTTGAAAAATGTTTCTAAGAATGGAATTGGGGTTAGGGGTGGGGGAGAGGGGGTGCAGTGGAGACCTAAAGCCCATCTGTAGATGCTAGGACATCCCCTTACAGAAGGGTAACAAGGCAGAGATGAGCCAGTCAGGGTGCAGAAATAACACCAATGAAACATACAACTTTCCTCTAGTTCTTTAATGCTTCCTCCCACCCACCCACGCACATTTTAAAATTCTACTTTAAAAATTGGACTAGACCAGAACATGGACACTGTTACAGATAAGAGCTTGCAACACAGGGAATCCAGGATAGATAAACCCCTCAGGACCAACAATGAGAAGAGAGATACTGGAAGGATAAGGGGAAGGTGGGGGAAGACAGGGGGAATCGATCATAAGGGGATGAACAACAGAAAAGTGGGTGAAGGGTGACAAAGAACAATGTAAGATATGAAAATAATAATCTATAACTTATCAAGGGTTCATGAGGGAGGGAGGGGGCAGAGGAAAGGGGAAAATTAGGAGCTGATATCAAGGGCTGAAGTACAAAGAAAATGCTTTGAATATGATGATGGCACCCAAAGCCCATTTGCAGGCCACTGGTCATCCCCTTACAGAAGGGTATGGGGAGGAGATGAGCCAGTTAGGGTGCCATATAGCAACGATGAAAAATACAACTTTCCTCTAGTTCCTAAATGCTTCCTACCCCCCCACCCCCCCACCCCC